GCAGCCGAGGGCCCCATGTCACCCTCGCAAACCGAGCTGATAAAGAAAGCTTCTGCTGCGGGCCCATCGGGGGGCCCGTGGGCCCAGAACAGAGAGGGGGGGCGGGGCAAGAGAGGGCGCTCCCAAAAGGGCGTCGGCATTAGGCATCTCCCGGCGAGCGGCTGCCGGGGGCCACCATTGCGGGCGACTTCGCCGAGAGAGCGGCGCAACGCCCATGGCCTTTCAAGTCCCAGGGCGTGCTCGGCGCATGCGCCATGCTGGCGCGAGAGAGCTCTGACTTGCGGCTTGCGCGGTGCCAGCGGCGAGGCAGACAAGGCGGCGAGTCTTAACGGGGTGCCCATTTTTCAACTGCCTCACAATTGGCCACTCGGTTCCGATGACACGCGATCACAAATTCGAGCGACGTTGCGGCAAAGTCCTGGGGCGTAGAAAAAGAGATGACAAGGGCGAATATCAAACCGGCGCTCAACACAGGTGCTTCGAAATGCTCGGCTATCTTCGCGCGCTGCCAAAGAATATTCTGCTCGCGCTACGAGCTGCTTATCCACGAAGGGGCAGGCCTAAGAAACGCCGTGAACTGGACCGCCAGGAAAGCCCCGCGCGCCCACCGAGCGCGCCCGCATGCCATGCCGACGCAGGGAAGCCCAAAACGCAGTGAAAGGCCGAACTGTGCATCCCCATGGGTTCTTTCGGAGGCCGGGGCTGCCGCCGAGAACCTGTCGGGGCGTTCAATATTCATCTATCCGAGCGCGGCAGGCAAAAACTTGGCGGGCAACCAAAAGACTCCGACAACGTAGTCGAGGTCCGTGGTGGGAGCCAGCACAACGAACGAAGCGATGCTTTTCCCAGCTTGCATGTGATCTTGCAACTTGCCTGCGGGACACTGCGAAACGCCGCGAGCTCGTTCTCGCCCGCACCTGCGACGGCCGCGCTGAAGGAGGTGGCGCCCTCTATCGCTGGCCAGCTCACCTGGCCGAGACGCTTCCTTCGGGGCGGGCCTGACTTTGCACCGGACACGCGGCCTCGCCGCTGCTTGGCGACGCCGAGCTGGGCAGCCTTGGCGCGACGCGGCCGCGCCTTCCCAGCGCCGGAATCGACTGCCAGATTGCGCGCGGCCCCCGCTGCCCGATGCCCCGGGGCGCCGACGATTGCGAGCGACCCCTCGCCGAACTTGCCTCGCATTGCTGAGCCCCGCCCCATGTCTATTGCGAGCCCTGCGTCCACATTGTGCAATTCTGAAACGAAAGACTTGGCCGACCGCTCAAGCTCGCCCCCCGCGCGCTCCTCTCCGCCGAATCGCCGCTGGGAGACGTCGCCAACGTTGGCCGCGACGGCCTGAAACTGATGACGACGTTGCTCGCATTCGAAGGCCCTCTTCAGGCCCCGAAGAACGGTCCGGGAACAGCGCCGGTAGATGCTGCAATATTCAGACCAGGCGCAAGAGATCAACGCGCGCTTCTCGCCCAATCGCCCACTGGTAGACCAGCAGAAGCGCCTGAAGTTGCGGCGCGGCCGGGCGCTCGTGAGCGGGCACCGCGGGCGGCGCTGAAGACGGCAGAACATGTGCAGCGCGCAGAAGTCCCCTCCAACTCGTTCCACGACGAAAACAATTGCGCTGCGCATCTTCGGCCAGACCAAGAGCTGCTCGACGCGGTCAAGCATTTCGCATGCACTCCCGAAAGATAGATCAGGAAGCAGAAGGCAGCCCAGGCACTGACACGATAGAAACTAAAATATGTTTGAGCAGGTCAGGCGCGATCACCTGCCTCTGGCCCCGGAACCGCGGGAGGGTCGGGCCGGCATCCCAGGAAAGACGGCCACTCCAGGGGCCGCATTGCACTGCGCGCCTTTCGCCGCCCTCCCATGCCTCTTGTGACATGTCCCGCGTGCTGGCGGGCCTCGGCGCGCAGCGACTCGGGGGGGCTGCTGGCGCTGATGCAGAATTGCTCGATTGGCCAAGGGTCGCAGCTTCCATGCCGCGAGCGCCGAAAGCCCGCGAAAGCGACTCGGCCCAGGTCGACGAGCGGAGAACGCGTGAGACCTGGGCGGCGCCGCCCGCCCGCGCGCTATTCATCAGCAACCGTCGGCAGCTGGAAGACGCGCGCCCGCTCGAGCCCAGCTGCGGCGATGAAGGCGCCCTACTCGGCATCCATCGAGCCCGCGTTAGCAGCGACTCCAGCAGCCAGCGCCCCCTTCCCGGTGCTGAGGCCGAGCCCCCGAGACACCTCTGACAGGCCGGGCGGCGGGGATCTCGCGCGGCACCTCAATCATGCGAAAGTGCGCATCACCAGCGACAGCCGCCACTCGCAGCAGCGCATGCGAATGATGTGAGGTGGGGGTGCCGCGTAAAACCTCAATAGAGTGCTTCCCCAGGTGGTTAGACGAAACGACGAAGAAATCAACGACGCGCCCGGCGGGCGTGCAAGTCCCCGTCGCGGGCGTCACAATCTCTGCATCTAGAGCGCGCGTCCAGCCTGGCGCTTCGTGCTGAGGCGGTTCTATCTGCCAGTCACTCGCCAGCGCCAATGGAACGTCTGCCGCTTTGAGGGCAGAACCCAGATTCGGAAGTAGAATCCAATTCAAAAGTGCAAGGAAACCGCCAACCTTCAAATACAAGGCTGCACAAGAAAGATCCCCCCTTGACCATGTCTCCGACGTGGAGAAGCGAACAGCGCCCAGAAATAATCTCGGAGGTAACGGGCCCGAGGAAAGGCAGGCCAACGCATGTAGAAACCATGGCGAACAAACCTCCAAGCGTACCCCCTTTCTCCGTGGAAGCCACCGATCAAGACTTAGCCGACCAGCCACCGCGACGAAATGAAGCCTCAGAGCGGTCGGAGTCCAAAGTTTGGTGGGTCTCCCGCGCGCAGACAACGTCAAAACCAAAGAAGCCACCCAACATTGTCTTAATACTGGGATATTCAATAACATGGCTGCTTCCAAGCAGATAATGCCGAGTCCCCTGCTTCGAAGAGGAGCGAGGAGGCGCTCCAAATTCCCTTCCCTGCGAGGCGAGCGCGGGCCCTCGCGCTGGCGGCCCCCTGGTGCAGCAGAGGGGGCTGGGCCTCTCGTGGTTGCCCCCGGCGCTGGTGAGGGCGTGGGAGGGCACCGCCTGCACCTGCTGGGCGTCGACCCCGCTAGCGACGGCGAGGGCATCCGCCATGTTGGAGCAGGCAAGCAAGGCGATGATGCCGTGCTCGACGGAGGCCGCCTTGCGAGCGTCATCGGCGCAAGGCTCTGCTGCCACGGGGCGCGCTGCCAACTGAGTGGATGACCTTGGCAGCTGCTGCGCCAGTGGGAAGCGCTAAGACTGCGACTGCTGGTGGTGGAGCACTCGCAGCGCCCTCGGCGCCGTCTGCTGACTCTCGACCTGCGTCTTGGCGGACTGCAGCTGGTTGAACTGCGTGGCCAAGCTGGGGCCGAGTTGCTGGGACCTCTGGAACATGGCCTTCCCGGGCGACTCTGCATCGACCTGCGCTGCATCACCTGCGATCTTGGTCAAGGCCTGCTGCGAGCGCGCAGCGGCCTGCGCTTCCTGCTCCCGCAGCGCCTTCGGCCCCAGGCGCAGCACCACGTCGCTGCGCAGCTGCTTCTGCAGAGCTTCGGCGGCACGCGACATGTTGATGTCAACCGCGCTGAGCTAGGACTTCAGAAGGCCGTATTCCTGCTGGGCGGCCCTGGACAGAAGGCGCGCGTCCCCGTCGCGCAGAGCCCGCAACGCTGCCACCTGGCTGCGCCGGGCACTGGTGACCAGCAGCGCCGCGTTGCCACAGTCCTCCTCGGACATGGCGGCGGATGCCCCGAGCTGCTACTCGCCGAGCGGCTTCGAGACACCATCAGAGCCGTTCTTGCCCCCACCCTTGCCATATTGTTTCAGCCATCACGGGGGCCAGTCACCATCAGGAGCAAGATCATGCACAGGCACGTTCGGAAGGGGCTTCCAGCAATGCACGCACCACGTGTAGTGATCCCTGTTTGTCTTGCACTTGCAGCAAGGGCGCGCGAGTGGCATGGCCGCGCTGAATGAACCCGTAGATGATTAGGTGCGTGCTGCCGCCGCAACGGCACGCGAAACCCAGAAAGCTAACGCCGCGGACAGAGCCCCCCAAGCTGTCTGATTCAGACAAGGTACGGGTGGGTCCAAAGCTAACCGCTGATGTTCGGGCCTCCGACCGCTCACGACGTTAAGCCTGGAGCCGCACATCCTACGGATACTACTGTCTTGATTATCCTGTTCCTCCTCCTCCTCCTCCTCACCCTCCTCCTCCTATACGACGAGCCCTGCCCTTCGCGTCACTCATCCGCTCCTGCTGCCCTCCTCCCCCGATGTTCTTCACATCCTCCTCCTCCTCCTCCTCCTCCTTCTGCCTTTTCCCGCCCTGCGTCCCCCTTATTCCCCCCAACGCCGCCTCCTCTTTTTGCATCCGCTGGTCGCACCGCTGGCGCAGAAACCACACACAAGCGGCACGCCTATAGGACGTGTCGAGGGCATGCGATGAGTCTAAGACGCCAGCGCAGCGGAGCGGCGTGCATGGGCGCTCGCGGGAACGCCCGGCCCAGGGGCACAGGAGGAACCCAGGGAGGGAGGGAAAGGTCCTCCTCTTCCTTCCTTCTCCTCCTCCTCCTCCTCCTCCTCTTCCTCTTCCTCCTCCTCGCCAGGAGCGGGACGAAGCCGCAGCGAAGCGGGGGAGGAGGAGCAGATCGGCAGGGAAGAGAAACGGATAATCAAAGAAGAGGGGGAGAGAGAAGGGGAGGAAGCAGCGGAACCCGAACGGAAGCGAACGCGACCACCGACCGGGGGCAAGGGCGACAGCACGACAAGATTTTCGAGTCTCCTCCTCCTTCTCATCCTTCTCCTCCTCCCTCTCCTCCCTCTCCTCCTCCTCCTCCTCCTCCTCCTCCTCCTCCTCTCCTCCTCCTCCTCCTCCTCCTCCTCCTCCTCCTCCTCCTCCTCCTCCTCCTCCTCCTCCTCCTCCTCCTCCTCCTCTTCGGCGCGCGGCCTTCTGGCTGGACACGTAGAAGGAAAAGGCGAGCACCTCGCTGTAGAACTGCACCAGGGACTCGTCCTGCGAGTCCTTCGGGCCGAGGGGCCACCAGGGGGAAATCCAGGGAAGGGGCCCTGGCCAACCTAGACCCTCCGGTCCTGAACCAAAACTGCGCGGCGCCCCCCGCCCTGCTCCTCTCCCTACGTTTTCCGTGACATGCAATGCTAGCCTCGCTGTCTGGGGAGAACGACCGAGGGGCCACCAGAGGGGAGAACGAGGAGCAGCGGCACGCGCAAGGCCAGCCACGTAGCTGGCAAGCTGGCGATGACGAGGGTTGGCCTCTGGGGGTCGGACCTTCGCTGAAGAGAGGTGAGAGGTGATCGACGCGCGGGCCCTGCTGGTTGTGACGACGCAGACGGGTGGGCATAGGACTTCAGGGAAGCAGGGCAACACATCGAAACACTTTGGGCCCATCGATCAACGAAACCCTCAATGATGGGACACTTTTTTCCGTGACGGCGGCTGAGCAAGGATACGCACGCCAACGTTGCACCAACACGGCGCCTTGTGACCCAATCTTATTGTGGGTACCGTTGGTTGCACTATAGTCTACGCCATGGACTGCGCCATGTGCTGTTCATAAGACTTTGTGCATGGCGTTTCTTTGCAATCGTTGCCTGATGTTGCATGCCTTAGCTTGCCTGGTCGACGTGTCGCGTTGCACTGCGTGGCGTTGCCCAAGAACGGCCCAAGAGGCCTCCAATACGCCCAAGATGGCCTCCAAGACGGCCGTGGAGCACCCTAAGAGGGCCCTCAGTCGGCCCAGAGGGGCCCCAAGACGGCTTCCGACGGCGTCAGACGGGCCAGGAGGCCACCACGACAGCCCAAGATGGCCCAAGACGGCCCAAGAGGCCCCCAAAAAGGTCTCCAAGACGGCCCAAGAGGCCTCCAAGAAGGCACAGAGAAGCCAAAGTCATTGATGCTGCTAAGGTTGTTGAAGGGTTTGGGCAGCTGCTTCGTTTCGGCCTTCCGATGGCCCAATCGTCCCGAAAGATCGCCCGAAAGACCTCCTAGATGGCCCCAGAACGGCCCAAGAGGCCCCCAAGACGGCCCCAAGAGGCCCCTAGACGGCCCAAGAGGCCTCCAAGACGCCCAAGAGGCCCCGAACAAGACGGCCCAAGAGGCCTCCAAGACGCCCAAGAGGCCTCCAAGACGCCCAAGAGGCCCAGAACGGCCCAAGAGGCCCCCAAGACGTCCAAGATGGCCTCCAAAACAGCATTGGAGCACCAAGATGGCCCCCAAGATGGCCTCCAAGACGCCCAAGAGGGCCCCGAATCGGCCCAGAGGGGCCCCAAGACGGCTTCCGACGGCGCCAGACGGGCCAGGAGCCCACCAAAACAGCCCAAGATGGCTCTAGGATGGCCCACGAGGCCCCCAAGAGGTCTCCAAGACGGCCCAAGAGGCCTCCAAGAAAGCCTCCAGGAAGGCCTGGAGACGCCAGAGTCAATGATTTTGCTGAGGGGTGTTTGAATGATGTTGGCAGTTGCATCTGTTCGGCCTCCCGACGGCCCCTGACGGCCCGACAGACCGCCCGAAAGGCCTCCAGGATGGCCCCATAACGGCTCAAGAGGCCTCCAAGACGGCCCCAAGAGGGCCTTCGGACGGCCCAAAAAGTATCCAAGACGCCCAAGATGGCTTCCAAGGCGGCCCTGGGGCACCCCAAGAGCCAGAGAGGCCCGAAGATGGCTTCCATCGGCGTCGGACGGGCCAGGAATGCCCTGAGACGGCCGAAGAAGCCCCCGAGAAGACCCCAAGGACCCCAAGAGGCCCAAGGAGGCCCCAGAGATGCCTCCAAGAGGCTCCCAGAAAGCCCCCAGGAGGGCCCAAGAGTGCCCCCCATCGGCTCCCAAGATGCCCCCTCTTCCTCCTCCTCCTCCTCCTCCTCCTCCTCCTCCTCCTCCTCCTCCTCGTCCTCCTCGTCCTCCTCCTCCTCCTCGTCCTCCTCCTCCCCCCCTCCTCCTTCTCCTCCTCCTCCCCCTCCTCCTCCTCTTCCTCCTCCTCCTCCTCCTCGCTCTCCTGAATTTCCCCACATCCTTCACAAAATGTTCCCCGAAAGGTTTCCACAACGGTTGGGGAAACACATGGTCCGATAGCTTGGCAGAGCTCTTGCCACAACGCTCGGCCACATGGGCGATTTAAAAAGGCAGGGGGCGGCGGTGACTCGCCGTAGGCGCCTTCCATATGTTTGTACACCCAAGCACTAGACATACATAAGTGTGATGGTATGCACATAATTAAGTACGCGTACATACACATATCTATGTATATGGGCTTGCATGCATCTACATATATAGAGAGAGGGAAACCTTCACACACATGTTCATTCAGATCTACGTGTATATAAAAGTAGTGAGAGAGACAGGGGAAGCCACATATGCATATACAGAGAGAGAGAGAGAGAGAGACAGGCAAAGAGAGCGAGAAAACGATATACACATATACATATACAGATAGAGAGAGAGAGATAACAGGAGAAAGAGAGGACAACACAAACAGAGCAAGCGTGAGAAGCTGTCCGCTACGTCGCACAGCTGGCCTGGGGCGACGGCGGGGCGGGGAGAGGTGGCAGCGGAGAAGGCAGGAAAGCGGATTGCTGGGGAAGGCAACGCGCGGACGGGGAGAAAGGGGAAGCGAAGGGGAACGAAAAAGGATGGGGCCGGCGAGGGATCCGTCGAGACGGCCGCAGCGAGGAACGTGTGCTCAGCGTGTTGCCGCGGCGGCCCTGGCGACACGCCATGCCCTGCCAGCGGCTAGCGTGTCGCTACGCTCCGCGGACCGGCTGGGAACGGCTCGGGGCATTGACGCTCGGGGACCAGGACGTGGATAGCGTGTCGACTGGTTCACCATCGGCAGCGAGCGGTTGCAGTAAGTACAGATGACATGTCGGCGGGGGGCACTTGTCCATAGCATGGGGCTAGAATGGTTGGGGCATAGCGGTGTCACTGTGTCAACACATCAACAAACAATGAGGTACCCCACCGTGCAGAGTATGCCTGTCAGGAGGCCAGCAAGTTCGCGCGTCGCCGCGGCGTCGCCCCTCCATCTCTACTTGCCGCCTCTTCCTGGAAAGGGAGGGGCGAAAAGGAGTGACTGGCTCGTGGGGGGACATCGACCTCGAATATGCGCTACGTCGCGCCTCAACCCTCAAGGCGGCCCCGCCGGGCCAGCATGGCCTCCAAGATGCCTCCAAGACGCCTCCGAGACGGCCAAGATGGCCCCAAGAGCCCCAGATGGCACCAAGGTGCATCCCAAGATGCACGGAAGACGGCCCAAGACGGCCCAAGAGGCCCCCAAGAGGCCTCAAAGACGGCCCAAAAGGCCATCAAGAGGTCCTCGAGGAAGGACCGAAGAAGCCAAAATCATTGATTTTCTGGTGGTGTTTGAAGGACTTTCGAATTTGCTTCAAAACTGCCTTCCGACGGCCCAAGACGACCCCAACAGGCCCCCAAGATTGCCCCAAGATCGCCCAAGGGGCCTCAAGATGGCCCCAGGACGGCCCAAGAGGGACCCAACACGGCCCCCAAAGGGCCCCAAGACGGCCCAAGAGGCTTCCAAAACGACCAGTATTGCCTCCAAGGCAGCACTTCAGCGCCCCAAGAGGGCTCCAAGACGGTCCAGACAGGCTCCCAAGATGGCTTCCGACGGCATCAGACGGACCAGGAACGCCGCAAGACGGCCGAAGAGGCCCCCACGAAGCCCACAAGGCCCTCAAGAGGCCCGTGGAGGCCCCCGAGAGGCCTCCAAGAGGCCCCCAGGTAGCTCACAGGACGCTCACGGAATGACGCACGAGGCTCCCGAGAGAGCTCCTCATCCTTCTCCTCCTCCTCCTCCTCCTCCTCCTCCTGCTCCTCCTCCCCATCCTCCTCCTTTTTCGTGCCTCTCCTCATCCACCTCTTCCTCGCCCACGGGCTCCCAGAAGGGCTTTCTCCGCGGCTCGGGGAACATCTGGTCCGACACTTGGCTCAAGCTCTCTGGACGCAAACGTTTGGCCACAGAGGCGCTTTTTCAAAAAGGCAGGGGACGGCGGTGATTCGCCGTAAGCGTCTTCGATACAGTGCGGGCGCGATCGCAAGAAACCCTCGCAAGAAACCCAACCCTGAGAATCCGCGCGCGAGGTACACCTGAGGAACCTGGAGCACCCTGAACGCACCCTGAACCGGCTGCGGGAAGTCACCGCGCAGCGCTAGGAGCGAAGAAACCCAGGATACCCTGACAAAAAGCACATGGTTTCTTGATGCGCGCCCCCACTTTATATAAAAACAACGGAGTTTCTGTTTCGCTCCAGATCGCCTGAGTGCACGAGGATCCCTCTGGGATCAAGTCCGGAAGGAAATGAGGAATCGCACGCCGCGCCCGAACCCGAGCTGTGTCGTGTTTCGGCGTCCACCATCCATCTCCTGTTTCCTGCCCCTCGTCCACTACCCGACCACGCTCGCTCGTGTGCTTGCCGGCCCGATCCATCCGCCCGACCGCGGGGCGCCCGCTGAACAGAGTGACCCGCTGATCCCAAAGCGGATGTTCATCTATCCCCTTCATTTCCCCCTCCTCCTCGTCCTCCTCGTCCTCCTCCTCCTCCTCCGCCTCCTCCTCCTCCTCCTCCTCCTCCTCTATCCCCTTCGGCTCCTCCTCCTCCTCCCCCTCCTCCTCCGCCTCCTCCTCCTCCGTCTCCGCATCCTCCTCCTGCTCCTCCTCCTCCTCCCTCCTCCTCCTCCTCCTCCTCCTCCTCCTCCTCCCCCCTCCCTCCTCCTCCTCCTCCTCCTCCTCCTCCTCCTCCTCCTCCTCCTCCTCCTCCTCCTCCTCCTCCTCCTCCCTCCGCCTCCTCCTCCTCCTCCTCCTCTCCCCCCCTCCTCCTCCTCCTCCTCCTCCTCCTCCTCCTCCTACCTCCTCCTCCTCCTCCTCCTCCTCCTCCTCCTCCTCCTCCTCCTCCTCCTCCTCCTCCTCCTCCTCCTCCTCCTACCTCCTCCTCCTCCTCCTCCTCCTCCTCCTCTCTCCTCCTCCTCCTCCCTCCTCCTCCTCCTCCTCCTCCTCCTCCTCCTCCTCCTCCTCCTCCTCCCTCCTCCTCCTCCTCTCTCCTCCTCCTCCTCCCTCCTCCTCCTCCTCCTCCTCCTCCTCCTCCTCCTCCTCCTCCTCCTCCTCCTCCTCCTCCTCCTCCTCCTCCTCCTCCTCCTCCTCCTCCTCCGCCTCCTCCTCCTCCTCCTCCTCCTCCCTCCTCCTCCTCCTCCTCCTCCTCCTCCTCTCCTCCTCCTCCTCCTCTCCTCCTCCTCCTTCCTCCTCCTCCTCCTCCTCCTCCTCCCTCCTCCTCTCCTCTCCCTCCTCCTCCTCCTCCTCCTACTCCGCCTCCTCCTCCTCCTCCTCCTCATCCTCCTCCTCCTCCTCCTCCTCCTCCTCCTCCTCCTCCTCCTCCTCCTCCTCCTCCTCCTCCTCCTCCTCCTCCTCTCCTCCTCCTCCTCCTCCTCCTCCTCCTCCTCCTCCTCCTCCTCCTCCTCCTCCTCCCCCCCCCTCCCCCTCCTCCTCGAGAACGGGGGATTGTGGAGTCGCAGGGGTTAAAAAGCGCGCGTGCGAGGCTCTCGCGGTGAGTTCGCGACTGCTTCTGTGCAATCTCTGCGCGCTCTGTCGTCGTCGTCGTTCCTCCTCTCCTCCTCCTCCTTCTCCTCACCCCTCCCAATTGGCCTCTTGTCCCTCCCCCTCTTCCTCCTCCTCCTCCTCCTCCTCCCTCCTCCTCCTCCTCCTCCTCCTCCTCCTTCCCTCCTCCCCTCGCTTCTCCAGGAGTTGTTTTTTTGTGTTGCCCCCCCCCCCAAAAAAAACTGGTGTCTTTCAGATGTTTCTCTTTTTCTGGGGGGAAGTAGACAAAAAAAAGGAAACGCCCCCCCCCCTCCCTCCTCCTCCTCCTCCTCTCCTCCTCCTCCCTCCTCCTCCTCCTCCTCCTCCTCCTCCTCCTCCTCCTCCTCCTCCTCCTCCTCCCCTCCTCCTCCTCTCCTCTTCATCCTCCCCCCCTCCTCCTCCTCCTCCTCCTCCTCCTCCTCCTCTCCTCCTCCTCCTCCTCCTCCTCCTCCTCCTCCTCATTTCCTCCTACCTCCTCCGCGCTGCTCCGCTCGTTCTTTCGTCTCTCTCCCGCCCTCCTTCTCCATGGCTGAGACCAGGCACGAGCGCAGCGGCCGGGGACCGCGCCCACCTCTACCCCCTTCTCCCCGTCCTCCTCCTGCTCCTCCACCTCCCGTCCAACCTCCTGCTCCTCCTCCTCAGCCGATTCGGCGCGGCGACGCATGCAGCGTGCAAGGCATCAGTCGAGAGGCCGTCCAGCACAAGCCACGGATCATCAGCTACATAGCCGGGATCAGCGAGTGCGAGACGGAGAGCACTAGCCGCAGTGGCCGCCAGTGCGACACGGCGGGCAAGGGCAGCAGGTTCTGTCGCTGCCCAAGGCGACGCACAAGCCCAACGTCATCAGCTGCAACGCTGGGATCGCCCTATGTGGGAAGGAGGGCAGAAATCGGGGCAATGGATCGGTGAACAACGACGCGAGAAGGCTAGCAGCTACAACGCGGCGACCGGATCGTGCGAGAAAGCGGGCAGTGGCAGCAAGGCCTGTCGCTTCAAAGGGGCGAGCCCACATCATCAGCTACCTCGCTGGGATCAGGGAATGCTGACACCAAGCCAAGCGCCTCATTGCGAGAGAAGCGGCATGCGAAGCTGGGGCCCCAAGCATGAAGCGAATGAGAAGGACGAGCCCAACGTCATCAGCTACACTCGACGAAGGGCGAGCTGTTGAAGGCGAACATGGAGCCCGACAGGTGAAGGACCAGCCCAACGTATCAGCTACAGTGCCGGGGTCAGGGCAAAGCGCGAGAGCCATACACGCAACGCATCAGCTGCAGCGCTGGGAGGGGTCGTGCGAGAAGGCAGGCAGTGGGCGCCACAACGGCCACACCGCTGGGAATCTGTCATGCGAGAAGGCGGGCAGTGGGCAACACATCAGCTGCAACGCTGGAAGCAGTCCGTGCGAGAAGGGCGGGCAGTGGGCCGCAGATCAGCTGCAACGCTGGGCGCAGTCCACGCGAGAAGGGCGGCAATGGGCGACAGATCAGCCGGCAGAGCAGACATCGGGGCCGTGGGTCGGTGCACCCCGAGGGCACCAGCTATACAATGATGATATCAGGAGCTCGTGCGGGAAGGCGCACAACGGCAGCGTCTGGCACTTTGGGGAAAAGGCCACCGTCGGAGCGGAATGCCAGCTGCATGCGGGGAGCGGCGATGGCGAGAAGCGGAGGTGAGAGGACGAACGGCACAAGGTACAATGCTGGGATCAGCTCGTGAGCGGAATGGCCAGGGAGCAGCCGTGCAAGGCAGGGTTGCAATTCATCGGGAGCTCAGTGACATGCCTCTTGTGAGAAGCGGGGGGCGAAGCTGGAGCCCCATATCTGCAGTGGCTGCAGGGTATGTTGCCGCTGGGCTCGGGTGGGCCACTCTCAGCTTCAGTGCAGTGATCAGCCCGTGCGAGAAGTTCGGGAATGAGAGAAATCTGCTTCCAGGTTGCCTGGCGCGGCGCGGGGACGGCCCGATGCGGCCAGGCGGCCCTCGGCGCGACTCCGTTGGGCATAACGCACCGATTCGATCCGCTCGATCCGCTCGTGGGGATACCAAAAGGCACCGATACCGCTACTCCCCGAACCTCTCCTGGGCTGCGTTCCGACAGGGATCTCGAGGCGGATCCACCGGCGACGACGAGGGTCTCCCAGGAGGCCCAAGAAGGGGATAACGAGGCGAAGGGTAGAGGTATGAGCACCTGTTCCTCCTCTGAGCTCGGTCCGCTCGATCCCCATCCTTCCCATCCGACATCGCCGAGCAGCATCGGGAGCGGCCAAGAGGGGGGTGCCCAAGAGGGGGGGATGCAAATCATGACCGGCGGCATGTGCGCGGCCCAGCGGGGGGGCCGGGGACGTAATGAAATAAAAAGAGGCGCCATGAAACCTGGGGAAACATCATGGCCCCCGCCGTGATATCCACCCCCGCTAGTCATCACCCCCCTCTTTGCCGCCCCCGAGCAGCACGAAGGCACCAGACCGAACCCGGGAGGCCGCGCCTCCGCCGCCGACGACGCCTCCGGCGATGTCCGTGAGGGCCTGCGCGGGGCAGGGGCGGGCGGCAGGGCAGAAAGGGCAAGAGGAGGAGGAGGAGGAGGAGGAGGAGGAGGAGGAGGAGGAGGAGGAGGAAGAGGAGGAGGAGAAGGGGGAGGAGGGGGAGGAGGGGAGGGAGGAAGGAAAAGGAGGAGGAGGACGAGGAGGGGGAGAAGCGGGAGGAGAGGGAGGAGGAGGAGGAGGAGGAGGAGGAGGAGGAGGAGGAGGAGGAGGACGAGGAGGAGGAGGAGGAGGACGAGGAGGAGCAGGGAGAATGGGGGGGATGAGGAGGGAGGGGGCGGGGAGCGGGAGGAGTGTTTCAGACCCCTCCTGGGAGGTCATCCGAGGGCCTCAGCACACCGAAGAGAAAGAAAGCGAAAGGGCCATCGAGAAGGAGCCCAGTGGATTAGGAGAAGGAGGTGTACAGGGTGGAGGGGAAGGATGAAGAGGAGGGATGACAGGGATGATGGGGAAGAACAGGAGGAAGAGGAAGAAGCGGTGCAGGACGGGAATGGAAACGAGAGGGGAAGGAGGGGCAGGGGGGAGGGGGAGAAGAAGACGAGATCAGCGGGAGGGGTGCGCATGAGGGGGTCTGGCGGCGGAAGAGGGCGATGGGGAGGTGGGGAGGGGGGGTGGACGGAGATGGGGAGGCAGAAGGATGGCGGAAAGAGGTGGGCGGATCGGGGAACCATGCGAAAGGGAGGGTGTACGGAATGAAAGCGGGAGACCGGGGGGGAGGGAGGAAGTGGGCAGATGATGGGAAGGGGAGAGGCAGGAGGCGGAGAAGAGAAAGAAGAGCGGGGCACGCGGGGTGGGGGGTACGAGAGAGGCAACGGAGGGCGGGAGGGGAGCGAGAGAGCGGGGGGGGAAGCGGAAGGGGGCGAGGGACGAGTGGAGGAGAGCAGTACACCCTGACGGAGGAAGAGCTGAAGGCCGCGCAATGGGGGGTCGACGAGGCTCCTGGTTGTCCGTGCCGCCCGACATGAAGTCGGGCAGGCCGCAGTCCGTCTGTCCTCCAGGGGCGCGGCCGCCGAAAAGGGGGCTCCGCGGCATCGGGCAGGGAGCTATTGCTTCTGTTGGAGCTGGGGCCGACCGTCTCGGCATTCCTATGGGCCTCCCACAACATGTCCCTGGAATCCGAAGGTGTTCGGAAAACAAATACTTCTCTTAGAACACAAAGCCGATGAGTTAACGCAAGGCAGTGCAAAACATTTACGTTCCAAGAACACTTCGTGTGCAGACCAGACCGCACTTGGTTCTCAGAACATTCTTTGGCGGGCCTATAGGCGAGCCGAGACGCTTCGCCACCGCTTGATCTTTAGGACGCAACTACTGGGAGGTTTTCGTCGGAAAGATTAAGGAGGATAAAGCCCCATTTGGGAGCTGTTACGCTGGAGTGGGCCTCGGATTAAACGGGATTAAGCCCGAGTAAACGGGATTAAACCGGATTAAGCGGGATTAAGCGGCATTAAACCGGATTTCGGACCAGGGCGAAAACAGAACTTGACCTCCCAGGAGTTGCATCCGAACGATCTGTTGCGGCGTCGGCGAGGACGACCAGGGGTCGACGCTCCCCCCCCTGAGCCAGTCCCTCCCTGTCGTTGCCCCTGGCTTTCGGCTCTTCGGCGGCCGCCCGGCCGTCTGGGAAGATGTGGGCGCCCCTTGGCAGGTCTTCACGACACGACCCCGTGGCTGGAACTCCGCCGAGGGACGACGGAAACGTCCGAAGCCGCCAAACTGGTGGTCCCCAGCCGGTGCGGTCACAGACCCCTCATTCGCTCACTCACTCAAGCCGTGCGCCGCTCGGCGCGTGGTCTCTGCCGAAGACGATCCAAAGAACAGCGACGCCAGGCCGCCGCAGCTCTGCTTCCGCACTCCGCCATGCTTGCTGCAGCTCGTGGCCCTCAGATGACGCACGAAGAGGGCCAACAAGACTGCCCGGACATGCCTTTCGGTCACCGCACGGTCCGTCTCCTCCTCCTCCTCCTCCTCCTCCTCCTCCTCCTCCTCCTCCTCCTCCTCCTCCTAGGGGCCCCCGGAACCCCGCGGGCGCCCGAGGCAGCCTCGGAGAGAGCGGCTCGAGCCACAGACCCTCGCGGCCACACCCCGGAGCCCGCACGGACGCACCGCGCGGTGAGGTCACCGGCACCTTCTGGGGGATCCCCGACGGGAGTGGTCGGCGGGGAGAGACTCGGTTTTCCGCTCCTCCTCCGCCTCACGCCTCCTCCTCCTCCTCCTCCTCCCCCTTTCGTCCTTCTCCACCTCCTCCTCCTCTTCCTCCTCCTCCTCTTCCTCCTCCTCCTCCTCCTCCTCCTCCTCCTCCTCCTCCTGGGGGCCCCCAGAACCCCGCAGGCGCCCGAGGCATGAGGCATCCTCGGAGAAACCCGGATCCCCGACTGGAGTGGTCGGTGAACGTTTTCTCATTCGGCGTTTCGGCATTGGGCGGGAAGGGCGGGGGGGGGTCTGGCTCTGGACCCCTGCTTAGCGCGACTGTTTGCAACAGTGCGTCCTACAGGGGAGGCTCCACCTGCTCGAAACAGGCGCCAACAACGGCCAAGATCTTCTCCATGGGGGGGGCAGGGGGGGGGGAGAGGGCCCGCGCCGATCGGCAAAACAATGAATGAGAAACGTTCACTTGACGGGGAGAGGCTCGATTGGTTCTGGGGATGAGGAGGAGGATATAGAGATCGTCCACACAACTTTGGAGGTGACACGGTGACTGCAACCGCAGCTCTTTACTGGTGGTCGTGCTGTTTCCTTTGACGGCGCTGGGACCCCGCCGAACGACCTGTTTGCGCGGGCAACTCCAAGAATGCTTCATCGGCCACCGTCGCGATTGGACGTCATCCGTTGGCGCTGTCGCCAAGCCACACACTCCAAAAGCAACCCGAGGTGAACAACTGAACAAATATATGTGCTCCCGAAACGGCATCCGAGACCGATCGCCCGTCGAAAACTGCCAAGCGGTATATCTGAAACTGCCCGTCCAGAGAACGGCGTCTGCATTGCGTAATGCGGGTCGCCTGGTTTTCCTTCGCGCCGCAAACCGAAACACATTGACATCGGCCACGGGACGCAATGTGTAGGGACCAACACAGCAAGAGGGGGAGAGGAAGGGAGAAGAGAAGGATGCGGATTTCAACGTCGAAAAAGGAAGGCTGACGGAGGGAATGGGCGGGGATTGCAAAGATGGAAACGGCAAGCACGCACCACCGACGAGCGCGAAAGGAGCCCAGATGCCACGCAAAGTGCACGACCCAACGCTCGTGGCATGACCCCCCCAAAAAGGGATCTGTGGCATCCACGCCTCTCTCTTGCCCTGGTCCTCCTCCTCCTCCTCCTCCTCCCCCTCCTCCTTGCCTGGGCACCGGGGAACATGTTGCTCTCGAGGAGGCCGCTCAGGGGGGGGAGCGAATATTTGTCCATAGTGTCGCCCCCATTTTGGCTTGAAGGCCTGCTGAACAGACCTCCCCCCCCAAGGGCTGGAGACAACGGCCCGTCATCTCAAGGCGCGACAGCTCGCCAACGTTGACATGACGGTAGCACACCACGAGCTCCAGGAGACGACATAGAAGAGCACGCTCCCAGATGATAGGGTAAACCTCGGACACCCTCCACTCAGCCATCCACTTCACGTGCCATCCTGACGGCAACGTGGCGTGGTGATGGATGCCAACGCACACGCAAGCCGCCAGCCTGAACCCGCGCACGGGCCATTCCCTCCACTTGGTAAACGAATGGGGCCTCGCACCCTCGCGGAAATCTTTCCACCTGTCGCCGCGTCTGCCGATGGCCATCCGGATGACGCGCAAGTCGGACGGCGCCGCGGCCGAAGCCGCTGCGGCGGGCACCGCTGGCTGCGCGGGGACGGCGGGCAGCGAGGCGGCGGCCACGGGACCCGTAGCCGCGCCAGCTGCTGCGGGCCCGCTGGCGATCACAGCAGGTCGATCACTTTGGCCTGACAATGTGATCACTGACGCGGTGCCAGGTCCTGGGGATCATGTGTTCGTCGTTTACGCCGCTGTCGTGAGTGATGGCGTCACATGTTGTGCCATGTCCCGTGCGGACGACCAACCTCTTTGTCGCATTACCTGAACCCCTGGGATCTGATAGCGCGAGAGCTGCCAGAACAATTGGTGCGCCATGACTACTGTGAGTGGGCAGCAAGCCTGGGCACGGGCGGTTTCGTCAAAGCTGGGTGTCGACGGGGCGTCCGCAGGGCGTTCGACCTGGTGCCTCTGCCAGGCGAAAGCCCCCGCCGCACCAACGGTGAGCCCGACGACCAACGCTGCCAGGGAGTACGCCGTCACGACCCCACGCAGGACGGCCCCCCAATCTGGCCTCCCTCCCCCCAACAGGTGCACGACGGGATGGCGGGGCGGGCCAGTTGCGGAACGCAGGCGCCGCAGCTGATAGCGGGTGTCCGCGCGACCACCGAAACGCCCGAGTTAAGATTTGTATCGGAGACGCACATTCGAGGACTTGAGCCGCAATGGTTGCGGCACCCACCGCTGCAACGATCAAATCACAGTCAACAGGCAATTGTATAGTGCTGATGCTGATGTTGATGTTGCTGGTGCTGGGACTGCGGATGCTGCTGGGGCGGAGAGAATGAGAGAGAGAGAGTGAGAGTGTGAGAGAGAGAGAGAGACAGAGAGAGAGAGAGAAATAAAGAAAGAGAGAGGGAGAGAGATAAAGCGAGCGAAACAGTGTGCATATATATATATATATGTATACGTAGGTATGTGTATATATATATATAAAGAGAAAGAGAGAGAGAGAGAGCACACCACAAAGAGAGAGAGAGAGAGAGAGAGAAAGAGAAAACAAGAGAGAACACTTGCGATGACTGCGCGCGGGCATCCACCCCAATGGAACTGTGGGGGCTGGGCTGTTTGTGCGCGCTTCGTGATGACCGTGTCCTTGCCACCCTACCCGGCCTGGGCAACGCCCGGAAATGCGTTATTGGTCTTCTAGCGCGACCCCCCTCCAGGAGAGACAGAGCGAGAGAGACAGCGAGAGCGAGAGAGAAAGAAATATATATATATATAGAGAGAGAGAGAACGAGAGAGAGAGAGAGAGCGCGAGAGAGAGAGAGCGAGATCAAGAGATGAAAAGAGAGAAAGATAGAGACAGAGAGAGACGAAGAGGAGGAGGGGGTAAAGGAGGAGGAAGAGGAGAAGGGGAGAGGGGAGGAGGGAGAGGGAAGGGGGGAAGGAAGGGAGGAGGGCGGAGGAGGAGGAGGAGGTAAAAAGGAGGAGGGAGGAGGAGGACAGGGGGGAAGGAAGGCAGAGGAGTAGGGAGGAGGGGGGGAGGAGAAGGAGGAGGAGGAGGAGGAGGAGGAGGCGGAGGAGGAGGAGGGGAGCAGGAGGAGGAGGAGGGGAGAGGAGAGGCGGAGCGTGCACCAGGAGGAGGCAGGAGGATGAGGAGGAGGAGGAGGAGGAGGAGGAGAGGATGGGGTCTCGGCTCCTCCCTCGCTCTCGAAGCACAACGTCGGCTCCTCTCACCACCGCCCGCGGGCGCCGCGGGTCCGCTCGAGTGCCCCAAGTTGCGCGGAGGCAGTGGGGAGGGGCAGTCC